GGGTCAAGCCCTATTAGAGAAAATAATAAACACTAACTGCTTGACAAACTTATCTTGTTGTACAAAATAGATGGATTAAAATAATCAATTTAGGGACAACTCAACTGTAGAAAGACATTTTTCAAATTATTAAAGCAAAATAAAATTGAGAAAATCCTGGATATTAGAGGATTCTGAGGAATCATTGTTAATTTCCTCTGGTATAATGAGCATGTGTTGTGGCTGTGTGTTTCTAACAGCAATACTTTTTTAAAAGATATAAACATCGTGTGTTTGCTATCATGTGGGTCTCACAAGTCTTGGAACTGTAGTCTTTTGCAGTTGGAAGAGATTTAAACATTACCTAGTCCACACAGAGAAAGAAGATTTTAATTCACATGCCAGTTCTAATTTAATCTGAGAAGAAATTGTGATCTCCAAGAATCAAGGGGAAAAAAGTGCCACAAATTAGCAATGTTAGCCAAGGGCACAAGACAGGAGAAGGGGGCCATCTGTGCTACTATGAATCACCTTTAGAACCCCAGTCTAGTGTTCTTTCAGGGAGCTTATTATTGTGAAGTCAACTCATTACTTTCCTCTGACAGCTCTGTCTACTATTTCTTATCTTATGACCTGAAATCTTATTTTTTGTAGCTTACAACCACATGACATAATGACAAATCTAGTTCCAACTTAACTTGTCTGTGTTAACTTGAACCATGGGGGACATTTCTGTGCTTTCTAAGTCTAAAACATCACCAGTTTCTTCAACCATTCCTCACATGTCAGAGTTCCCTCCACATCTTCACCACTCACCATGGACAGGTGCCAATTTATCTCTGTCCCTGCTAATATGTGGCACAGGAAGACTATCCTCTTGATGTCACATTGCCATAACCTCATCTAAAAATGTCTTTATTGAGTTCAAAGTTTGATTTTCAGAATCTCTGAATTCTAACATGTTGACATTTTACTTCAGATGCTATTCTTCACCTTGAGCTCAATTTGGCTAGTTGGATGGAGGTTTCTAAAATCTTCCTAGTTAACAGCCACATATGGTCAATTCAAATGGACTTGTGAGAGGACAAATGTCATCTCAAACATTACTCACCATAGAAATCACAGAAAGACCCAGAGTATTTTTTCTGACCCTTTACTGGCTCTTTAAGTCAAGCTATAGACTTTCAATCTTACAGAGAACTTCCAGTCCTCCATCTAAGCTCTGATGGGCCCTAACTAAGCCAGATGCTTCCTCTGTTCAACAATTTGTCTTCCCTGAGAGAAATAAAATATATGCCAGCACAAGTTTGGCTCAATTTGAGTAACAAAGTAGGTTGAGCAGTTCATGAATGGTATCATAGGGACTTGACTGGACCACTGAGCAAAAGAGAATGAATGAGATCATGACCAGGTCATCAAGCATACTGTATCTCAGATGAAAAACACAGGCATGAATAACTCAAGGAGGCATCGAAGTCATCAGCATAAAGAGCTGTTGGTGTTGAGAAAGGAAGTAGGTCTCTTTGGCTGGATTGGGGAAGTGGTGAGCAGAAAGGAAATAAGAATTAGGACAACTTAATGGGAAAGTAGTAGTTATGAAAGGGCAATGGGATTGGAACATGGACAAGTGAGAAAAGGGTGAGAGAATAAATACATCCCAATGGGCTGGGTGATTTGGCTTAGTTGAAGCACAGTGTTCACAAATACAGTGAGTGAAAAACGAAGTTCAGAAAAACTCAGAGAAGCCAAGCTGAATAAAATTGCTTACTGTGCAAGAATCAGCTAATCAAAGCATGAATTACACCAAAGAACACCTGACCTACCAAAAGACACAGTTAAGTGGGAGTGGGGGAGAAGTGAGCAAATCAGACCCTAGGATAGAAAAGAATAGTTTTGGTGCTTAGGGGCGCAGTTCAGTGGTAAAACTCAGTAGGCATGAAGACCTGGGTTCGATCTCTAGGACCCTCCCTCCAAAAAGAATACCAAAGCGAATCTATGGGGGTAAAGAGAGAAAAGGCAAAGGGTGAGAAAAGAAGACCAGTGTCTTCTAAGTGACAGGTGGTGGCCCACTATTTATTTCCTATCCTTGACATCTAAATGTGATGGTTATCAACCTCTCCGCCTTCCTGAAATGCACTTCCAGACTTTAGTGTCTTCCATCTCTCTGTGCCCTTTGTTAACAGCCACTTCCCCAAAACAACCTAATCCACCCCCAGAAAAACAGTCAACCTGACTAATCCCCAAGGAACACTGGCAAGGAAGAGTGAGGATGAGAGACAGCTCAATATAGCCAATGTACCTGGTAAGAATGGAATCAAATGATTTCCTTTATAAACAACTGACTGAGAGGACAGTGTGTGTGCGGAACAAAAGGGGCCATGGGCCCTGAAAAGCCATAAGATCAACCTAAGGAACTCAGCCCTCCTTGTGTTTGTTCACTGATTCATAAAGTCATTCAAGTACTCATGTGGTCTTTTACTCCTCTCCCTCCCTTCCCTACTGCCATACATCCAGCTGTGCACAAAGGTGCTTATTCCTCAGACCTCAGTTTACACATTACTCTATTAGATCCTCATGACCAACCTATAAAGTGTCCTGGATTTTCCCTTTTAAAAAATGTATCATGATGTGATTTCTCATTTCTGGACTCCTCTGCCATGTTGTAAAATGCCATGAGGAAAAGAGCTATTTTCTCACTGCTGTATCCCTAGCACTTAGCACAGAGTCAGAAAATAATTGTAGAATGAATAAAACACCTCACAGATAAATAAAGGGAACCTCTTGAGTGCCCTAAATTATGAATGACCAAAAAAATCAGTGTGGTCATGATTGCTAATTCCTTGCCAAAGTCCATGTTTTCTAACTATTCAGGGGGACACAGCTACACTAATTTCCTGCCTGCCCTTGTTGTTAGGTGTGGGCACATGGCAGCTCTAGTGAATGGAATGTGAGCAGAAGTAATACACATCACTTGCAAAAAGACACATAAATATACTCCACAATTTTCCTTGAGGCTCTTTTTTTGTCCTTTCTGACCAGCTAGACTACAGACAACACCAGTAGGGACCTTAGAAGCCACGTGTCCTTAACTGGGATCCTATGTGGAATAGGACCTTTCCTCTGATCTGTTCCTAAAAGAACTAAACTTCCTGTGTCATACATCCATCAGACAGTTATGAATCTAAGTGTTACAGTGGTTAACCCAGCCAATAATTGAATGATATAACTGGGTCACAATTAAGTTAAGCTCTCCTAAACTTTAGTTTGTCACTTTCCCTAAAAGAAATAAAGGCCATTCACAGGCCAATACAATCTCTTGGTATGTGACTGAACAAAAGTTCAAAGCCTTTTAATTTTATTTATTTATTTAGTTTAGGTACTGTGGATTGAACTCAGGGCCTTGTACATGCTACTTGAGCCATGTCCCAGCTTTGAACAAAAGTTCTAACTGCTTATGATCATCAGGAAAATGTAATAACTTTGCTTGGATTGGCCCATAGCCACCAAATAGTCTGGGAGAATTCCGTGATGTCAGAACACTGGACAGTGAGCATGCTTGCCTGGCCTCCTCTCAGAAGAACAGGTCACACCCCACAGGACTTGGACAAATGCCCAACCTGCTTTCTCCAGTAGCCTGTCCCTGGCTTCATCTGTGCTTACCTCACAAAAATGTCACACATTGTCCTATTGTTTTCAGTGCTAGCTGGGTAGAAGCTGCCAAAAGCCTTTTCAAAAAAACCACAGAACAATGGCTGTATCTGCCCTCTGAACAGAGCATCCCATCAAACTGCTAGAGATTCAACCTTGGATGTGGCATCTGTCTCCAAGGCAAAGTGGCACTTATACCAAAGACATGCTTGACTCTTTCTGCTGACCACTGGAGACTTTAAAGAGGACTCCTCTCCCTGACGGACTGGAGTATTTTGATAATCTAATTACAGTAAGAGAATCAGTCGCATGTACTACACAATTGCATGTTCAATGTAGCTCTGAAACTATTAGAAAGGGTAAATGTGACTCGTGCAAACATTTTCTGGCCCTTTACAGAAAGTGTGCTGTTTCCTGCCCTAGTCCTCAGGGCAGAATGAATGGTTTGTGACTCTGTGGGCTGTGTTGAGACTCTGTCACAACCACTCAGCTCTGCTGCAGCACTGCAAGAGCAGTCATGGGTGACGTGGAAATGAGTGAGATAACTATGTTCAAACAAAACTTTACTTATGGTGTCCACCTGAATTTCATATCGTTTCCACTTGTCACAAAATATTATTCTTCTCTTCTTTTTTGAACCATTTAAAAAATGAAAATTAAGCCAGGCAAGTGTAATCTTCACCCTTGATGGCTGAAGGATTTGTGAGTTCAAGGCCAGCCTGGGCCACACAGAAAAACTCTTTCTCAAAAAAGATAGATAGATAGATAGATAGATAAGTGAGTAAATAAAAACCACGACCTGGTGGCCCATAGACAGAAAGGTGATAGGACACAGGTTGCCAACCCCTGCTGTAGAACATAAGTTCATTATCTTGAAAATGAAAAATATTATATCTACTTTCACTGGTTTCTCACTGAAGTTTGCATTCCTTTAATTATGAATTATGAAACAAACCACAATAGTAGCAGCAGAAACTTTGAAATTGTCACCAGGAGAAATCACAGGCGTGCTCATAGCACATTAGAGATGGGATAGATAAATTAAGATTTGGATCATGCTCACCACTCCTTTTACATGGGTCATTTTCAGATCTTCTGCTGTATCTTATTTAAATGTGTTGATAAAGAAGCACGTACATTACTATCTCTTAAATTTGACTTTTGACATTTGATAACTATATTTCAATATAACTGATTTCTTTTCTAATCCCATGTATTTTATTGCATGGATTTGCACACAGTATTCTAAAAGGCAGAGCTTTAGCTGTGTACTAGAGGGGTCCACAGTGCTAAAAAAAAAAAAAAATGCTAAGATCAGAGCTCACTTGCCCCTGGTGAAGAGGACCTGGAGACAAAACCACAGAATCTCTTACCAGTGCATTCACATCTTCGGTTTTATGGATGAGCATCCGTATCTCTTCTGGGTCACCACTGAAGATTGCTTGGACCAGAGGTGGCTGCAAACACAAGAGAATGGGAATTAGAACCATAATTAACACATTTGATTGCATTCAGATGCAGATGGCTAGCGGAGGATTTGTTCCTTGTAAGTCTATTTGATAATTATCAATGGCAGACAAAAATAAATAAGACTCAGATCCTCACTAGAAGTCCAGTGGGGGAGATGCTTACATAAAGAAATGACTATATGCTGCCAGATGCTGTGGCTCATGTCTGTAATCCTAGCTATTCTGGAAACGGAGATTGGGAGTACCACAATTTGAGGCCACCCCAGGCAAAAAAGACCAAAATACACCATCTTAACCAAAACAGCTGAACATGGTGTCATGCATTTGTCATCCCATCTACTCAGGAAGCCTGAATAGGAGGGTCTCCATCCAGCCCTACCTAAACATAAAAGAGAGACCCTATTCAAAAGATACCCACAGCAAAAACAGCTGTGAGTGTGTCTCAAGTGGGAGAGTGACTGCCTGGCAAATGCAATACCTTGAGTTCAAAGCCCAGTACACCCCCCAAAAAACAAAACAAAACAAAAGAAGGAATTATAATACATCCTAAAAGCTGTGACAGATAGGCACTCTAAACTGGGACTATAAACTAAAGTGAGGGTAACGGTAAAATTACTCATAATTAAAATTGTCCTTGATTGGCCTTAAAGTCCCTAACAACGAAACTATCAAACATGGTGTAGTCCCTGCTATGGACTGAAATGTGTCCCCCAAAATTCATGTGTTGAAGCCCTAACCCCCACTGTGACTGTATTTCCAGATAGTACCTTTAATTAAGGAGGTAATTAAGGTTAAATGAAGTCATAATGGTGGGGCCCTAATCCGATGGGACTTGTGTCCTTATAAGAAGAGGAGGAAAAACCATCGCCCTCAAGCTCTCTCCTGATCTGCACACAGAGGAACAGCCATGGGAGGACATGGTGAGAAAGTGACTATGTATACGCCGGGAAGAGAGGCCTCTCCAGAAACCAGCCTTAATGGCTCTTGATTGTGGACTTACAGCTTCCATAAGTGTGAGAAAATAAATGTCTGTGTTTAAGCTATCCAGTCTGTGATCTTTTCTTATGAGCAAACTAAGACAGTCCCTATCATCCTCCATGTCTTATTAGACAATGTGCCTAAGTAGCCTCAAACAATTTTATCCCCAGAGGGTGTTGGTGGCCGTGTTCTGGTCACCTGGACACTTCTTTCTCAATATTTGGAAAACCCTTGAAATCTTTCCCAAATGCTTTGCATAGCTTTAGCTTACAGGCACTGAGTGTTTTAAACATGATTATATCTACTGCTAATTTAAAGTAAGTGGTAGGATGGCAGATTAGGAAGCAAGAGGGGGAACATTTCTGAATTCTTACTAAACCCTTTTATATTAAAGATCCCAACCCTTAGCAGAGGGATCTATAAAGTGTGACAAAACACAGCTGAAAGAGCATAGGGCTCTGCTGGAGCAGGAGGGCAAGAACACATGGAAGAAGCCTTGTGGAAGGCGCCGTCATGAAGAGTATGGATTTGCAGGCAGGGAAGGAAAGGCACTCCAGTAAGAGGGAGCAGGTATGCAAAGAACCAGCCATGTTCAAACTAGTCATCAACCTGGTGACTGCTCTGAAAAAGTGGTGGGCCTGGGGGCCAATGCCTGGCTTGCTCCACATGGCGAACGGTCCTGTTCACAGCCAGCTCCATCACTTCCCAGCCACACAGTGAGCCCTACCGCTGTGAGTAATCTGGAGGTAAGCATGAGCCTTGCTGGGTGCCCCCTCATAGGATTGTTATTAGCATCAAATGAGATAACACATGAGAAAACCTTCTGTGACATACAACCCTACACAAATAGTAGACTGAACATTAATGTCAAACATTAAGAAGAGTTAAACATGGGAAAATTTGAGTATTTTCCCCAAAAACTTCAAAATCCTTGGCAACTACACACACACATTTACTTACAACTTTTGGACATATTTTAGTCCCAGTAGGAAATTAGATGATGGCTATTCCCCAAATTTGTCTTATCAGAAGAATCACCTAAGATGCTTATCAAATAATCTTCCTACATCTCTTTCCTGAAAATTATGATTTAGCACATGGTGGTGGGGGGAGGAGCTGTGAATCTAGATTTTTAACAAGTCACCACCTAATTTTTAGTAACTAGTGGCGAACAATAGTCTCAGGTGAAATCTTTACCACCATCCACCTTGACCCGTCCCTGTGCTTTCTGCTTGAGAATCTGAGTCTGCTTTCCCCATAAGCCTTCTTCTCTCTTTTACCTGCCCTGGCGCCCTTCTTACAGTTTGATGATGTTTATTATTAGTTTGGGGAACTGATATTAGTATTATTAGCAGAATATAGTAAAATTCCTTAAGGAAACACTACACAAAATATGTTAATTTGCATATGAACCTTTAACATGCCAGGAATTTACCTATGGGTTTCCCTCTTGTCATGAAAGCGCCCAGCAAATGGACAGATGTATCTCCTTTTTCCTCAAATTTTCCCTCAATTCCACCATGTGCCAAGGAATAAGGACAGTTTCTCAGGTTGCCAACAACTGGGTAGCAAGAAAAAAGTCTTGAAGAAAAAACACAAGTTTTCTACTGGTTCAATCTCAGCTGATTGCTCTGACTAAAGACTAGGAGAGCTTTCCACGTCCCGGCTGACTACCTGCTAACCAAAGTCTCCAGCTGAACTGTGTTTGTCTTTTCATAATTCTCTGCTGTGCTCTTGGTCAAATAAATGCTCATGTGTGCATTTCTGCCTTTTTGAACCTCAAGAGAAAAAAAAAAAAAAAAAAAACTCAACAAATCCCCAGCAACCATGGGATGACATGTAGAGGCAATGTCTGACAGGATTTTAGCATTCACTCAACAGCTGAGAAGTTAAGATTCTAAGGTGCAAACCCATCCCAATCATTAACGCAGCACTAGTTCGTCACTCCAAGGGAACACAGTGACGTGCGTAAAGCTTCTCACTCATGAGCGTAAGGAATGTGGACAGATACTCTGTGGCATCCACTAAGTCCTCAAGCCTTTCAACAAAGGCGAGCCTTCCAAGCTATGGCTGGAATGTTCCCAGGGCGAGGCGCCGCGACACAGCTGCCAGGGAAGGACGCCAGTCCCGCCCCGGAGCAGGGAGAGGTGTGCAGAACTTCCCAATCAGCCCTGAGCCGACTCTGCTCCGAGCCGCTTGGCAGCGCGTTGTCGTCGGGGCACAGAATTCCCAAGATCCACGCGGAGGATGCTAAGCTGCTGTGGAACCTCTCCCAGTGCTGCAGTCACATGAATGTGTTCACATACCCACAACGGCCCGGGTGCACATTGTGCAGGTACATTTGGACTTGCGTGTGTGTAGATAAAGTCGCTCCACCTACTAGCCCCTCTCATTCCCTGTGAAAGTGCCTGTCCTCCACAGTGCAAAAGCCTAGCTAGACATCACAACTGTGTGAAACAATTGTGAATGAAAGCTGTGTGTTTGCCTGAAAGTACTAGTCTCAAAATAGTCCTTTTGGGTGGTTTTCTTTCTTTTCTTTTTTACCAAATAAAACATGGCCAGAGAGCACTTTGGCGTTCTTTTTTCTAGGGATTTTTTAATCCAGTCCTATTGTTTTATTTTTTCCCCAGGAAAACACTTAACCTGACAATAAATATTTGAAAAAAGGTATATGTAAATACTGTCTCCATTACATGATTTTAAGAAAAGGGAAGTAATCCAATGATAATATTTTTGTTCATAAGTATTGAGGACTTATATTCTGGTGATCATTAATTTTGCAACCATTATAACTTTTGAAACGTTTGCCTTAGTCCTGTCATGGTTTAAAAGCAAAGCATGACCTGTGCCAGAGTAGAGTCCTAAGTCTTGGTGCATAAGGCAGAGTAGTCTCCAGGGTTTTAGTCAATGGCATCAATCACAGTCCAAAAATATTAAATGGAAAATTCCAGAAACAATTCTTAATTTGCACCATTCTAAATAGCAACAACGTATGTTGTTCCATCTTGCTCCATCCTAAGTGGGATATGAGTCATCATTTTGTCTAGTATATCTATAATATATATTCTACCTGCTCATAATTCACTTAGTAGCCATCTCAGTTATCAGATTAACTGTGGCCATTGCACAGTGCTTGTGTTCAAGTCTCCCTTACTTATTAATGGTACCAAAGCACTGAGAGTAGTAATTCTGGCAATTTTGTTACAGTATAGTATTATAAGGATTTTATTTTATTATTAGTTATCATTGTTAATCTCTTACTGTGCCTAATTTATAAATTAAACTTTATCATCAGTATGCATGTATACTTATGATTTTAAAAATCACAGTAGATGTAGGGTTTTGGTACTGTCCATGGTTTCAGGCACCCCGAGGGGTCTTGGAATTAATTCCCTGCAGACCAAGGGGAACTACTATATTTCTTTTTAAAGTTTCACATGCTTCAGCTCTAGCATATGCAACATAAGGGTGTGTCCTAGAGTACAAAATTCAGTTAACATAAAGGTCAAAGTTTTGAAAAAATAGTGGCAAGGAAAAAAAGAGAGCAATTATTTCAACTTCAATTACTAGAATTGTTTTCAGTTTTAGCAGCTATAAAGTGGAAATGGTTGTCACATGCTGTGAATATTGGCACACACTCTCAAGTAGATTGAGAAGGCGGAAGATACTTCCTGGGCCTAATTTACCAGTGACACAGTGAGCTTTATTTGGAAGGGACTTGTCCTTGTCTTTTAGTATCACCAACTCCCATCCCCATCCATCTTTTCCAGGAGTGTGATTAGCTACTTTTAGAAGTGACTCTCTACCAGGCTGATGACACTGGAACTTTCAAAGATCAAAGTGTAAAGCAGAGAGGCCCCTTGAATTGGACAACCATTATAAATTTTTTAACTAACACTGCTAACACTGGGAAATGAAATCTTATCGGCAGAAAGCCATTTCTTTACTCACTTCCCTTTCACCCCATCTGAGACAGTATTTTTCACTTTCATTCACTCTTTGAAAACATA